TTTTTTATTTTTGACTGAACACCCCAACCGACTACCTTTATTCTTGAAGAGAAAGATGGTTGCGGTGATCAGTCAAAATAAAGATAGTAAAAATAAATAATTATATTTATTTTTATATGTGCCGACGTTTCGGTCCGAAGTTCAGGGCTGTTCAATCCAAGAAGCGTTGAAAGACGTGATCTTTTCCCCATTCGATTGGATCACTCCAACCATCCTTCTCTTCAATTATTCACTACAGTCAACCATCAATCCACAATTATACCTTTATTCTTATTGATTAATCCTAGAATGAGAATAAACATGATTACGATCCAGAGTTCTGAGGAAGTTATTATATATATATTTTTTTATTATAATAATGAAAAGTATAATTTTTATTTTTAAAAATGACTGTATGTTACAGGATGCTAGGAAGTCATGGGATACTCGAGAAGAAAAAAGACATTTAGTTATGGAAATGTACCCTCCAAGCCACAATGGAGTTTTATAGGTTTATTAGATGTAGCATAAAACAATATATTTTTCTGTATTACCTTTTTCTAGGACATGGCTCATTCATTATTAAGGGACACAGAGGTAAAATGAGCAAATGTAGATTCTTGTACTTTAGATGTCCATATTTTTACATTTTTAGTAGTATACTTGTAATTTTTATCAGAAGATTCTCTTAGATCTATTTTAATTTTTCTAGTATTTTTTTAAAATATTCTTTTCTCTACTGAATCTCTGAATGTATATGTCAAATTATTTCTTTTTAAAAGGGAAGGTCCCTCCTGAGCCATTTCTGGTAATTATCTTTTAAAAATACGATGACTTCACTGCTGATAGTTGATGTTTGTATTAGTATTGCACTTGGACCCACATGTTTTTCATCGTATTTATAGTATTACCTAGAAATTTATTATAATATAATTTTTTCATACATTAAATTAACTCATTTAATATTAACCCTTTTCAAATCAAATATTTAATTTATTAGGTTAGGTTTGATAGCTATATGATGCTTATTATATCAAAATAATTTGCTAGATAATTGTCAAAAAAATCTATGCTTTTATTATTTAAAATATTGTATATATTTTATTAATCAGACGTTAAAGCAACAATTCCGTTATGGATTATAATAATTACTGAAATCCAGTAGTTTTATCTTTCTTTATATTCAATTGATCAGTTATCATTATTAGGAATTTTAGTCTCATTGACCTTTTATATATTTGTTTTTATACACATGTTCATATTTTATACAATAATATTAGATTCTTTTGTGTATATTTTATTTACAATGTAAATAATGAGTTTTAATTTTATGCAATCAGCATTAGACATCTGCTGAGTTTTTTCTGTTATGAAATCTCTCATTTTATTTGAAATTATGATTATGCATATATATATTTGTTACAAAGCAATCTTAATGCATATCTGATATTTAGATTTATTTCTTTAGTACCACAGTATGGTCTAACTTTTCACTGATCTTGATTTCAATTTCCCAACTTTTTATTAAATCAACCCACAGTGTTAACAATGTTACATTGTTTGAAAAAGTAATATTTATTAAACTCAGTATATTTCTTTTGAATAAAATTAATTATTTGATTAATTGACATGGTTTTGACCATTATTCTGCTTCTCATCAAGACTATTAAATATTGACATACATTAATTTATTATTGGTAATTAATAAACATTACGTATTAGGCTCTATTATTATAGTATTTTTCTTTATCACAATTTATTAATAACAGCCTCTGGCATATAACTCTTCATTGTTATTTGCACAACATAGTTCAAGTTAGTGAATGGAAGTCGACATCTGTGATCTACCCAAAATTATCTAAATGTAGTACCTCTTTTGACATAATCCCTCATCATAAATATTATTAAAGCTTCAAGTTGATTTGGATATATATGTATATTTTAAATTCTTCTTCAGATTATTGATTTGTTTTAACATCTTCATATACATAAAACTTTTATATATTTTTAAGAAAAATTTGTTTCCATTCCTAAATTATAATTTTTGGAATAACATTTTATGCTTTTGATGTAATAATATTTCTTATGTATAAATGTATAATGTTACTGAGTTTCTATCCATGCTGAATTATATAGTACTTTTATGATTAATTGAATGTTTTTGAGTGAAGTTCTATAATAATAATGTATCATCTTCAGAAAACAATACATACTATATTATCCCTATTATTAGTAAATTAATTAGTTGAAGTTTAATTTATAATATATTGCATTTGTGTTTCTATAAAAGTTCTAATTATAATGTTTATTATATTAATATTTTGATTGTTTTTTTAATTGAATATTCATGATTGTTTGTTTGTGTAAAAGTAGCCAAAGCTTAACAATCAATTGTAGCTTTTGGAGAGGCATCAGCAATGACGTGAATATACAAAACAAATTCTCTATTTCAACCTCTGCTTTAAAATATTACTTAAGTCTGTTATTATTTGAAATAATGTCAATTTTATATAATAATGTGTTGCAAATATGTAGTGAGCATTGTTACTTATTTAAATGTTAACCAATAATGTATTTTATTCAATTGTAGAACAATTGTTTGTACTAAACTGAGAAGTAAGTTTTATATTTTACTGTGCACCATTTATTTTTTGTTATAATTTATTACATTAATTTATACCTGTATGATTAATTATTTTGATACAATACTTTAGCTATTTATTATTTAATTTTACTATGAACTTATTTATGAGCTTTCTACATATCACTAATTTAATTTTTTTATTCAAACATTAATTTAAGATTGTAAGTTCGAAATTGATTCCATCCATGTTGAAGGACTGAGTATGTAATAGTTGTTTGTATTAAATTAAAATCTGTTTAATTTTTTATTAATTTATATTTTACTTAAATGATCTGTTTTTATATCATAATTTGATGAGATTTTAAATTGTTATTATATTATCTTATAAATTTTAAAAACTTGTTTATTTATTTACCTGATATTAGATACATATAGAATAGCTTTTTTATTTCGTAATATTTAGTGCACAATTAATTTTCTGTGGTTTTCAGTTATCATTCTAGTTATTTTTGCTTTTTTCTCCAGAAGGAATATTTTTTCCTGATAATTTTCTCATTCCAGAGGATTTATTATTTCACACTGATATTTTTAGTGTTTATTTTCATCAAAACAAGTTTTTCTTTTACAGGGCTTTGACCCTCAATGACTAAATTGGATATCAAAGGCATAACTTTAAAATTTTTAATTTTCAAAATACTGGTGCTAAAACAGTTGAGCGGTTTTTATGAAACTTGTCTTAAGTCTCCCCTATGGAGCCATTTTAATTTTCACCCAAAATAAGCTGCAAAAAATTACTATACAGTTGTGGACAATCTGACATAAAAATTGTTGAAAAGTGACAAGGCTGTGGAAGAACAGCTAGCCAACAACAACAAAGTATAAGGGGAGATCATGAAATTTATGCCAAGAGTAAGGTGACCAGATTTTAACATTAGTAAAATGGGACACCATTGAAAAATTTGGTCCAAATTTATTGTTCAATAACTAATTTATATAATAGTAATCAGGTACAAATATATTCAGGTAACATATTATTCAGCTGGAATAAGGTTGATAATTTAATTCTAAAGATGTATTTTAGAGAGTGAATAATTTTATGATGTCTAATTTATGACTTCAATAATTTCACAGTTTTTATGACATAGTTGTTTTGTACCAGCAGTTCATTGTACACAATCAAGTAGCTCTGTTTCAAAATGCTATAAAACTTAATTAAGGTGACAAAATTACGGTAATCGAAGTAGCAAATGAAGTTAACTTCCTGATGCCCTAGATTTATCCTATTCCCTATAAATATATCTGTTAATAATAATACCTCATTAAAAAAGGTCATTTTCGGATTGTTCATTAAGTCCAAACAATGGCAGTCAAATTCTAACAACTTATCAAAAATGATAAGCAGTTCTCAACAATTATTCATTATTATTAATATTTAACGGTGAAATAGCCACATGACTAAAGAAAACCGTATATTCTCTTTCCGTTCTCTAGTTTGTTGTGCATTCTTACCAAAAAGTAGGACTTTTTTTATAATGCAGCAGGGTGCAGGACAATTACTTAAAAATCAAGACGTCTGGTTACCTCAGCTAAGAAGCAGTTGATAACATAAAATATCACTTTGCATTATGTTCTGGCTGTTAAAAATACCTGCACAGGCATAACTGCCTCAAAAATCTCTCAAAAGAAAACAATAGGGGTTATATAAAGAATTGAAGCAACTTTATGGATTGGAGAGCTTAGATTTTTCCATTATAGTTCTACAATAGCTTACTGCAGAAAACATGGTATGTTCAACTTATAGATTAGACCTTTCCATGAACACACTAGCTGACATTCAGGAAGTAATACTCTTGGAATGCAAATCTGTTTTTTGAAAAAAAATTATGAATTTAACATAGAATATAACCTTAGACATACTGGACTCAGGTTGATGAATATTTCAACCAATGACTAAGGAAGTGTTAAATTCTGAAATAATAATAAGGGTATTTGTTTAGTAGCACAAACCATTTACATACAGACTAAAACGGATAACAAAAATTATATAATAATAACCATATTTTAATACAAATCATTAATAATTACAGAAATTATAAACCCAAATGTATGTGCCAAATCAAATCGGTACACTTTTACTCAAATTATAAACATTTACAACATAACACTAATATAATTCTGATTAATTACCTAAAACAAATTGAATAATTATAGAAAATAATATACCACTGATACAGTTAAAAAAAAATTGTTTATCAAAAATTATAAATCAAAGTAAAATAAATAAACATATCAACCAACAGTTCAATAAATAAAAAAATTTCACTGTACCAAAATTAATACCATCAGTGGTACTAAGTAGTTTATTAATTAAGTATATATTTTGATAATATAAAGGCTTTGAAATTGTTTCATTGCAAATAAGGCTTAAATATTAAACTTATCCGCTATACCCTGCCATCTTTCTAAAGTTTAAGAAATGATCGAGATACTGTTGAATGGTGTCCATTGGTTGGTAAACTTCATCCATTTTATTTTGAAGACAGGCTGGTAAAGACTGAACACATGATCCAAGAAATCCTTGAAGAAATTCCCTCATTAATCCAACACAGTTAGATGGCACAACACAAGGTCTATATTCTACTTCAACTAACACACCTTTGAAATTCTGACTAATTGTTACACTGCCTAATTTGATGCAAAAATCCGCCAGTTCAAATCGAGGGCCCTTAGATTCAATTTTTGCTACCTTCTTGGTATAAATGGGGGTCATTTTGAGCATTAATAAATCAAATAGTCCATCAGCAACCAAAGGTATTGTTTTAGTATTGGTTTCTAGAATAGAAAACACTGAAGCAGGCTGTTCTGAATTATGTAAAACGTGTACAGTTCTCTGAGGTCCTAGTGATGGCATTGATATGTAAGAATCGCAGTCAACTAGAAACTGGCCCATTTGAACAGCTCCTAAAGCAACAATCCTTTTTGTAAGAAATTCTATAGTCTGCGGACCGGTTCTGTTTTCAAGCATAGGAAATTGGTGCAAAATAGTGACACCCATGTCCTTTTAATTTCTGAAATATATTACATCAATTAAAGGACTAATAATAGCTTAAACACTTTTTAAAAAATTGATAATGAGCAAGATTGACGGCTCATGCCATTGTTTACAAACACGAACTCTATCGTTCATGATTGATCTTCAGCGATTACTTCTTTTACTTGCAACCAAGGTCTATTAAACTATCTAGGCAAGGTCAATAAAACTACTAAAAACTAAACTAAAAAAAGTAAAACAAATTATCACCCACCTACCCAAACATATCGCCATTTTACCATTTTTTTTTTAAATCGGGTGGGGGGATTAATTCCCCTTCAAAAAACAATATATTAAAACAAAGTATCATCTCCCTATTCGAATATATTGCCAAGAGGGGCACCAGAAATTTGGTATCTCCCAGTGTAATGTATGTAATATATTTGTAGATTTTTTACAGTATATGACTTTGAAATAAATAATATAAAAATAATCTTAATATCAATTTCGTACTTTTCGTTTCAGGTCTAGCCTATAATTTCCATAGCATTTTATTCTAGATTGCTAGTCCTATTTATTTACTTGAAACTATCTTCAATCAAACGTCATAAACACACAAACGTATTCTTTTTAATAAATTAAACAAGAAAAAAAAAAGCACAATAATGTTGAAATAAACCTTCATTAATAGGCTGGAAAAAGTAATAGATAAGACTGGTGGTCTAGTCCTTACGTCACGTTTCAAGTCCCCCATTACGCATTTCTGAGTGAGCGAACCTGGTAGTTTTATTGACCTTGACCTTGGTAGTTTTATAGACCTGCATTATAGTTTTATAGATTGCACTATAACGCAAATAAATCGATCGAAAAACAACTAGCAACATAAAGGAAAATAAACAAAAAGTGATTCCTAATATTGGCCTAAATAATTTTTTGTTTTCATCATTAGTAATTTGCTAAGAAAATAATAAACGACGTGTATTATGGCTACTATGTATATTTAAAATTCGCCTTGTGGCAACTTAAATATATATGTTTATTGGTGTAATATGTTTTTTATATAATCTAATATTAGTACTAGTTTACTTGCTCTATCGACCTATGTGGCCGCTGACGGATATAGCGCTTAGGCCAGGGCTAAAAAGCATAAATGGGCAAATACTACTCTGAGTACCGAGTACCAAGTATTTTATTCAAATTTAATCACAATTCAGAATTCAATAACTACTTTAGTTGATCCTTTGGCATTAACTGAAGTAGTAATTAAATTCTATGATGTTCTAAAATGGTCAGTATTTGAGTAAAATACTTGGTACTCAGTACTTTGATTAGTATTTGCCCATTTCTGCTAAAACGTGACCTCATCGCAGGTGAAGGTTTGACTATAAATTACAAAAACTTTTTATTAAATTAAAAATGCATGTTAATATAAAAAAAAAAAAAAAAAAAAAAACGGATCAGATAGTCTCCCTGCAGAACTGTTTAAGTATGAAGGAGAAGAACTAGTGAAGTTCCTCTATAATATAATAATGGATGTCTGGAAGATAGAAGAAATCCCTTGTGAATGGTACAAAGCAGTTATATATCTAATTTACAAGAAGGTGGATGTGCTTGATTGTCATAATTATTGCGGTATATCCTTGTTATCATGTGGTTATGAGGTGTTCTCTCGAATACTTTATAAAAAACTGCTTCCTTTTGACGAGAAGAATATAGAAAAGTAACAGACAGGGTGATTGTCTTGCATGCCTTCTCTTCAAGGTGATTAAAGTAGGATGGCTTCGATGTGCAGGTCAGTTAATTAGAATGACCCAGGATTAGATTCCTAGGATGGTCCTAGATGAAAGGATTTATGGGACAAGTGAGACGACCTCGGCTGCGATGGAGTGGCAGCGGATGCCAGGTCCATCTTGGGAATCCGAAATTGGAGAGCAGTAGCAACCAATAGAGAGGACTGGCGGAACAAGCTGCTGGAGTACTTGACTCTACAGGAGTTGTAGCGCCACGGATGATGATGATGTTATTATCAGTAAAACGAATCTTGTCACCCATTCCAGAACCGCTGCTTTAAAAAATCCTATTAACTTGAAGATCGAAATGGGAAATATATTGCTTAAAATGTAGGTAGGCGTCTGAAAAGGAGATGACCTCATGATCTTCTTACTTAAAATTATTTAGAGAGTGCTACCACTGGGTAGTAACTCTTCAAGCCTGTACATGCCATTATTTATATTTGCGTATATTTACTAGTTGTATTTGTATACAGTTGTAAATTCCATTAAATAAACAAAAAACAAACAAAAATGTAGGAAATCTTTTTATTTTTTAAACTTGTAAATATATGTGTCTAGACATGTAAAAAACAAAATTGGTAACGCAGACCGTTAAGAGGAAACTTTTTACTGCCAAATATCTCAGATTATTTCGATATTTTGTTGTTGTTTTTTCACTTATAACGGTGCATCGAAGCGAGAATTAAAGAACGTAAAATGTTGACCAAGTACCTAAACTCAACAATGCGTTTAAGTAGTATGATAGAAAGCCAAGGCCAACGGACGCTGAGACCTTACCAAATTTGTCAAAAACTGAGATAAATTACTATAAATGGTTCTCCAACTTGGAAATGACTTCCCCGAGAGAAAAAAACTGCAGAGCATCAAATTTCGCGTCCAGTGAGTACCAACAGTTTTAATGTAAGTCACATACTCCACTCGAAATTGTAATTGAAATCTTTTATTTCTTAGGGAAGTAATTTCCAAGTTACAGAATCATTTATACTACTTTGCCTCAGTTTGGTAAAATTCAGCGTTCGTTAGGTTATCGACCATACGTAAGTTTTGGTACTCGTTCGATGCAAAATTTAACGTTCTTTAATTTCTTAAATAGTGCGTTTTCCGCCTCGAAACACCGTTTAGGAGTTATAGGCGAAAAATCTGGGTTTTTTGGTTGTAAAAAGTTTTCCTTCTCGTTTTTTTGTTCTCCCCTTCCTGGCCTATTAGGCTATAGGGGTCAAAAGTCCCTCCCCCCTTCGTCACTGGAACGCCTACCAATTTTGTCTTCTATAACTTCGGTTGTCATGTTGCTGTGCAAGGCATGGTGATGTGTGCATACCTTAACTCCTCCAACCCGCCCCCAAAGTTTCCTCTGTGGACCGCGTTAGATTTTATATATTTGCACCTATATTTACAAGCTATAAAAGAATAATATTTCCCATTTCGATCTTACAGTTAACTAACTCCAAGGTGCTGCAGGCCAGCATGACCCTTGGCCTCCAGAGTTACTCTTCTCCACTTCACTCTACCAATTTCGGACTCCTGCTTCTTGGCCTTTCTCTTTCCCTCTTCCCCACAGAAATGCGTTTCTAGTATTTTCTTCTGCACTGATTCATTCTCCATTCTGACCACATGCCCTGCCCATCTCAGCCTACTCGTCTTGATATAGTTAATGTTATTGACTTACTAATATAGTATAGATTTCATAGTTACTTTTAATTTTTCACTCACCATTAACTCCTGTAGCAACCTAAATAATTATTTTCCTTTTAAAAATGTAAGTTTACGGCAATACTCTTGTAACCAACAGACCTTCACTCCATAGGTGGCTGATTACTGGTCTAATAAGAGTTTTATATATCTTTAGACAACATTCAAGGCTTGAAAAGTTAAATGTTTAAATAGTAGGCTCTATTACAAGTCACTGTTCTGTTGTTGATTTCTTTGCTGATTAAATTTTCAGTATTTAATGCAGAACCAAGATACACGAATGTAGGTACCTTTTGAAACCAAAAATTAAAAACATTATTTTCTATAAAAACAAGAATGTTTCTTGTAAAAAAAAAATATAAATGGATTTAATTTGATTTTAAATATTATCATTGAAAAATAAAATAAAAGGAAAATAAGTGTTATAAATAAATGTTCCCAACTGAGGAATCAGGTTAACAAGACAATAGGATTGATATGATGTTGACTAACTTGTGATCTGACCTCTTGATAATTTATACCAATATCGATATTGATAAGTATTATCGGAACTTGTCTGACATAAATGATTCTTCAGGGTAGAAGGGAAGCCAAATAAAAAACTTGTAGAGAGCCTAGTTGGTATCTAGAATGAAATTGACTTTTTATGTTCTTAGGTTTCTAATTCCACAGATCAATAATAATAATAACAACTTGGTAATATTTATTTTTAAAAAAATAATTATAGATTTTTTACAATATTTACAAATGTTCTTTGCTATCCATACATCAAAGTTGCTTAGGAGCAATATGACAAAAATTATATAAATGCACTCAGCTTATTGGATTCTACACATTGGTTATATATATATACATTAAGTATTAAATTTGGTCTACTAAAATATAATTTCTTATAAAATATAAAAAGTTGATTACAATCACATAAAGATTTACTTGCGAGGTTCAGGGTAATAACAAATTCACACACTTGGTCCTGTCATAATGGTGTCTAACAGCCAGTATGTATCTTTTTTTTCTGGATGTAGGTTATTAAATGAAATAAAAATTATCTATTCACAATTTTGTGTAACAACCTGTCAACTATGTGACAGAATTTTTTTTTTTTTCTTTTAGAAAATATTTCTTAGAAAAATTACATAGTTTGGTTATTAATATACAATATAATTTTATTAATCACATTATATTAAAATGTAAATATTAAAAATATAAATTTATAATAATATATACAATAATATAAATGTATTAGATTGTAACAAAAACATAATAATAATAATAATAATACAGTAATGTTTATCTTCTATATCTATATCTTTTGAAATGAAACCACAACTGAAATATATTGTTGTAGAACTGAAATCTTAATCCTTGTTTGTATGAGTATCTCCATTCTCTAATAACAATTTTAAATGCAATGTCTTCAAAAGGTTGTCTGGAACAGAATATACAAAATTGATAACCATATATATTTGTAATACAATTACTTTAATAACATAACTAAACAATTCATTAAGTATTGAATTGATAAAAATTGATGTAAATGTA